AGCAGACAGAGCCCGTGTGGAATGTGTCTGGCCAGGGCCCTAGTGCAGAGTGCCGTCTTTGTCTGGACCCACCCCACCGGCCTCTCCCACAGCCGCTCACCATCCATAGGTGACCACCGACCGGTGCTGACAAGACAGGGGTCCAAGCTGCGTCCATGTGGCCCCGTGTTGGGTCTGCACCAGAACCAGACCCCCCAGGCCAAGCCCAGTGGACTGAGGGATGGGGGACCCCCAAGCAGCTTTGTGTGGCCGGAGAATAGCATTTGATGCCGGGAGAGGACAGAGGGAAGGGCTAAGCGGGGCGGCCTCAAAGACCAGGTCAGGGGCTCCGGGGCCCTGATGGGGCTGCAGTGGAGAGTGTGGGTGGACGGTGGCGTCAGTGGGAGGCAGGGAGGGTGGGACACGTGGATTAGGTCTAGGATTCAACCTGCTCTGGTGATTTAACTCATGATGTCTCCAAAGAGAGACTTAAGTTTTCCAAACAAGGTCACTTTCACAGGTACAAGGGTTAGGACTTCGACACAGTCCATGACAGCCTGCAATGGTGCAAACCAGTAACAACTGCTGTTGAGTCAACCCCGACTCCTGGCAACTCCGTAAGTGTCAGAGTAGAACTCTGCCCCATAGGGTTTTTAGTGACTGATTTTTTTGGAAGGAGATCACCAGGCCTTTCTTCTGCATCACCTCTGGGTGGACTCAAACGGCCAACTTTTCGGTTAGCAGCTGAACATGTTAACCCTTTTCACCACCCAAGGACTCCACATTCCTTCTCTTTCCTAATCTTACAGACCGCTCCCTCCCTCGCTCGCTCTGCGAGGTTGGAGCACATTTCCCCAGCTCCTACCAGCTGTCCCATGCAGGTCGCTGGTCCTACAGTGGTCCTGAGCTCCAGCCCTGCCCTGGGGTTGCTCCCAGCCCAGTGAGGGACCCTAACAGAGCAGACCCTCAGTATCTGCTGAGGCTGCTCCTATGGGCTCATAAGAGCTGACTATGAAATCTTTAGGAAGTTTTTGAGCTCGTTGTTAAACCCAGCCCTTACTAAACATTAAATTATATACTTACAATTAAATAAATTATATTTCAAACAACAACAACAACATTTCAAACAAAGATAATGAACACTCAAACTCGTCCCTTGCTCATTACTTACCGCACTGTGCTGACCTCTGGGCTCCTGAGGTTTCTGCATCTTTTCTATCTAAACATTAGAAACATTGTATCACAGTGAGCTCGTTTGTATCTGAATGTTAGAAACAATGTATCACACGCGCTCCCGCATCTCTTCCTGACTCTGCCTTCAGGTTGGCGGCTTGAAGTCAGCTGTGTGCAAGTACTTACCCCATGATGTTGGTGTTAGGTGCCATCAAGTCAGTTCCGACTCACAGTGACCCCGTGTACAACAGAACGAGACACTGCCCAGTCCTGCAACATCCTCACAACCGTTGTTATGCTTGAGCCCATTGTTGCAGCCACTGTGTCAATCCGTCTCGTTGAAGGTCTTCCTCTTTTTTGCTGACCCTCTACTTTTCCAAGCATGATGTCCTTCTCCAGGGACTGATCCCTCCTGATAACATGTCCAAAGTATGTAAGACAAGTCTCGCCCTCCTTCTAAGGAACATTCTGGCTGTACTTCTTCCGAGACAGATTTGTTTGTTCTTCTGGAATCCATGTAGGTTCAATATTCTTTGCCAACACCGTGGGAATTGGCAAACACTACACATCAGGGCATTTCCCCCCAGAGAGGCAGTTGTCAGATATTTCCCAGCACACTGCTGATTACGGTACTGGGAGGCCCGAGGCGAGCCAAGAAGCCAGGAGAGGCTTCGTAGAGGAGTTGAGACCCAGGCTCAGGTAGAGGAATGAGTAGGAATCACCTGAGCTGATGGTGGAATGGCATTCTAAGCAAAGGGACAGTGGGTGAAAGCACAGAGTCAGTGTGAAGATCTCCATTTAACAGACAGAGAAACCGAGGTCCAGTTGCTCGACACAGCTGGGTGGGCATGGAGCCAGGACTGGAATCCCGGAGTGTCTGGCTCCTGGGCCTGGGGTGTTTGGACAATGCTGGCCTGCCAGGGTGCACATGTGGACAGGCAGACAGCCCCTGGCAAACACTTGGGACCCCTGCCAGGCTGCACAGCCAGCCTCTTGGGGGAGGGTGGACTGAGGAATGAGGCTGTTGGGAAAGCAGCCGCTGCCCTCCACAAGGGCCATGCCCTGGGCTTCCTTCCTGCCACTCAGGAAGAGCTCTGCTGCTTGGCCCTGGTGGGCACCTGGGCTGAGGTCCCCCACTCGCGGGAGCCTTCAGGAGCCGGGTCAGTGCCCAGCCAAGTCTGCCTGCTGTGGCTGGCACATGGGGCAGCGAGAAGAGCACCCCTGCCCTGGGAGGAGACCCTGACTGTCATGTGGCCTTGAGCTAAGGGGTTGATCTTTTTTTTTTGATGATAATTGGTCAATCCAACAATTTCTACATGCACGATTCAGTGATATTGATTACATTCTTCACGTTGTGCAACCATTCTCCCTATCCTTTTCAACCACCATTAACATAAACTCACTGCCCCCAAGATACATTCCCTGTCTCCCTCCTCCCACCCCCACCTGGTAACCACTAAGAATCTTTGGTTTCTATATATTTCCCTATTTCATATCAGTGGGATCATATAATATTTGTCCTTCTGGGACTTAATTTGCTCAGCACCATATGATCAAGGTTCATCCATGCTGTGGAGTGCATCGGGACCTTATTTCTCTTTACGGCTGAGTAGTGTTGCATTGTCTGGATGGACGACCTTTTGTGTATCCATTCATCTGCTGCTGGACACCCGAGTGTGGAAGTGAACTGTTGTGAACAGGGCTGTGGTGAACACTGCCGTACATGTGCGAGGGGGTTGATCTCAATGTCAGCTCCACTGGGGACCAGTCCCTGGAGAAAGGCCATCATGCTTGGTAAAGTAGAGGGTCAGTGAAAAAGAGGAAGACCCTCCACGAGATGGACTGACACAGTGGCTGCAACAACGGGCTCAAGCATAGCAACACTGTGAGGGTGGTGCAGGGCCGGGCAGGGTTCTGTTCTGTTCCAGCTCCCACGTCTGGCTGCTATCAGACGCTCCGCAAGGCTTGTGATGAATAAGGTGCTGGGCCCCTCCACACAGCCTGCCTTGGGGGGTTTCAGGTGGGCCCAGCAGTTCTGGGCTCAGAAAGGTGGCTGGGGTCATTGTGAGAGGCCTTCGGGTCACAAGCCATGGCTGGGACCTCACACAGCCTTCCCTCCTCACTCCCTTCTCTGGCCCCCCTGGCCCTCCCAGCAGCACAAGGGGGCTCCTGTGTGGTGGTGGTGGGGCCTCTAGGGCTGGCATGTCTGGAGGGTTAGGACACAGGCCTGAGTGAGTCCCTGGGGCTAAGTCTGTAGACCCCATGGGGCACAGAAAGGAGAGTGCCAGCCCTGGGTCATTCTCGGAGGGCCCAAGTCTGAGTCTTCTGGTGTCGCTGTAACAGAAATACCAGGGGTGTGGGCGCCTTAAAAACAGACAGTTATTTTCTCACAGATCAGGAGGCTAGAAATTGGAATTCAGGGCGTGGCTCTCCGGGAAGGCTCTCTCCGTGGGCTCTGGGGGAGGATCCTTGTCCCAGCTTCCGTGGCCCCGGCATTCCTTGGTTCCTTGGTGATGTCCGCGTGGTATCTGTGTGCCCCCACTTGTGCTTGCTTGTCTCTGTGTCTACACTGGCCTTTATGCGGCTTAGAAGGGATTGGGTTTAAGACACACCTACACTGATATGACCTCATTAACACAACAAAGAAAACCCTGTTCCCAAATGGGGTCACATCCACAGATACAGGGGTTAGGATTTACAACACGAGTTTTGGGGGACACCAAGTCTATAACAGCCTGGGTGTGGCCTCCTTTCCCAGGGGCGAGCAGTGCCTCTCCTGGGCCGATTATGTTCAGTGGCTGGGGACAGGCAGCCTCGTTGGCAGACCCCAGGCCGGTTCTCCTCTCCCTCCTCTTGCTTCCCTCCCTCCCTCCCCTTCCTTGTCTCCTTTCTCTTCCTGGGTGGTGTCTCCTCTCCTCCTGCTGCTCCCCCCATACCCCCTCCTTATGGCTGAGCAGTGTTCCGTGCACGCGTGGACCGCGTCTCGTTTATCGATCGTTTGTTGGTGGACACTTGGGTTATTTCCACCTTCCACTCCGTGAACAGTGCTGCTGTGGACATCCAACTACCTGTTTCCGTTGCCCGTTTTCGATGTTCCGCGGTGTGTGCCTGGGGGTGGGCTTGCTGGGTTGTGTGGTAACTCTGTGTTCAGCTAACTGACAAGCTACCACTCCATTTCTCACAGTGGCCACACTGCAGCCACACTCCATGTCCCCAACCACCCATCACTCTGTGACCCCAATCATGGGTCACTCCATGTCCCCAGCTGCCGGTCACTGCGTGTCCTCAACCATGGGGCATCCTGTGTTCCCAGCCATGGGTCACTCCATGTCCCCAACCACCCGTCACTCCGTGCCCCCAGCCATGGGTCACTCCATGTCCCCAACCACCCGTCACTCTGTGTTCCCAGCCATGGGTCACCCCGTGTCCCCAACCACCCGTCACTCTGTGCTCCCAGCCATGGGTCACCCCGTGTCCCCAACCACCCGTCACTCTGTGTCCCCAATCATGGGTCACTCCATGTCCCCAACCACCCGTCACTCTGTGCCCCCAATCATGGGTCACTCCATGTCCCCAACCACCCGTCACTCTGTGCCCCCAATCATGGGTCACTCCATGTCCCCAACCACCTGTCATTCTGTGTCCCAGCCACCAGTTACTCCATGTGTCTGATGGAGTCTCTTTTCTGGGCTTGGTTCCTCACCTGCACACCAGGAACCATGAGGACGCAGAAGGAAGCTGGCTGTCCCGAGGCCCTACAGGTGGAGGGAGGCCACCCCTGCCCAGGATGCCTGGCTGCAGTGCAGCCAAGCACTAACTGTCCCCTCTGGTTTTTCTCTTTGTTTAAGAGACACTTGTCACCAGAGGAGTTCCAGGAAGTGTTTGGGATGAGCATGGAAGAGTTTGACCGCCTGGCCCTCTGGAAGAGGAATGACCTCAAGAAGAAGGCCCTGCTCTTCTGACAGCCGTCAACACACCTCCACACGTGTGTGCTGTTGGCAGAGACGAGGGACGCCTGGCCAGAGCCACGCTAGACCCCTCCTATTGCACTTTTCCTCTGGCTTCTGTGTTGACGAGGGCGGGCGGTGGGCGTCTGGGGGGCTGGGCTGGGGGCCTCAGGGTAGCCCTGTGTCTGCCGTGACACTCCTGCCTGTAGCTCAGGACCCAGCCGCCTTGCTCAACATTGCTCTTCCCACTGTTACTTGGCACCAACGGAGCTGCCTCCACAGCTGTCCCAGGAGGTGGACAGGCACCTCTCTGGTCCTGGCAGTGCCCAGCCTCTGGGCTAGGGTGACCGGGACTTGAGCTTCAGGACCCAGTCACGCGTGGGTGGGCAGACAGCTTCTGGGTGTCCACTTGCCCCCTGCACACACTCAGCACTTGCCTCATGCCTACAGCAGACCCAGGAGCGGTGGGCGTCCGGGAGAGGGATGTGGGCGTCCAGGGCAGCAGAGTGGAGCCAGTAGGTGATTTTTGGCCTTGTTTTAGGGATGAAAGTTAGCCAGCAGCGCCCTGCCTCCAGCGCCCCTCCTGTGCACCGCGACTTTCTTCTAGAACGTCCCCTTGCTGCCTTGATGATATCTTTAAAGTCACATGAAAGTTTTTATTTTATTAAAAAGTATAGCCTACTTAAACATAAGACTGCATATATAAAGAGTTTAATTTTATGGAGTGCCTCCAGCCTTATGCCCGCTCCTGTCTGTGTGGTTTCAGTTCTCAGAGTCTTCCTCATAGGTCAGCCTCCTTGTCTGTTCCTGTTCTCGTTCGTCCTTTTTACATGTCATGCAGGGAACCTTAGGGAAAGACCCCTTCCCAGTAGTGCTGTTTGTAAATATGTGTGGAGCGTAGCCACCACTGTGTTCCGCCCAGTTACTTGTCAAGTCTCCGCCTCTGATGGCAAAGCTCGGGAATAAAGGCTTTCCGTGCACCCAGCCTTCATCCCCTGGAGCCTTTGGTGCACTGTTCTTGTGATGTCGCCGGGGTGGTAACACAGGTCACCCCACCCCCACCCCAGGGGTGACACACTCATATCTTCCCCAAACAGACCACCGACACCTCGGGGGAAGACAAGGGTGGAGGCATCGTCCTCTCGTGAAGTCCGCAGGGTACCGGGAGCCAGGCTGACCTGGCTCCCCACTGAGAGATGTATTTGTTGTTTGTTGTTCTCTGCCGGTCTGCCCCGACTCACGGCGACCTCCTGCTCAACAGAACAAAATGCGGCCGGTCCATTCCCATGCTCAGTGGTCGATCAGACCTTTGTGATCTATAGGGTTTTCACTGACAGACTTTTGTTAGTCTAGAAGCTCCGCTGAAACCTGTTCAGCAACACAGCAACGTGCAAGCCTCCACGGACAGACGGGTGGTGGCTGTGCGTGAAGTGCATCGGCCAGAATCAAACCCAGGTCTCCCACATGGAAGGCGAGAACTCTACCCCTGAGCCACTGTTGCCCCATGTCTATATTTAGGAGGGGATGACACACAGCATTTATAGGGTGCACTGAGAGCGTGGTAGAATCCTAACACGTGTCGCCCCGTCCGTTTCACATGTGAGGCCAATCTCTGCCGTGTGTCCTGATGCTGCCGTCCGTGAGTCAGCGCCCTTCAGCTTCCTCCAGTCCCGAAACATGTCTGCTCTGCACCAGCCTCTCAGCAGCCCCGCCTGGCCAGGGAGGGGGTTTTAGCACCTTATCTGCTTCCTTTGTCTAGCAATCTGAGCCTGAACCACTGGAAACCCCCGTTTCCCCACTTATGCAATGTTCTGTCCAATCCCAAGGAAGCCTGGGAATAAAACACTGGCAAAAGTACGGAGCCACCTGAGCACGTGTCGTTTCTGTTGGCACGGCCCCGTTCTGCCGAGAGCGTTTGCGGAGAGGTCTGTGGAGGTGCAGCCCGGGCGTGGCCAGGGAGCCAGGGAGACAGAGGGAGACTGAGCGTCCACGGCAGGAAGGCCATAGGGACCTCAGGCAGTGGCTAAGGGTTTGCACGTTTGCCTACTCAGGGCTGTCCTCTTTGCCCATACTCAGGGCTAGCACGCGGGGCTGGGAGGGATAATACACAATACCTGCCCCCGACTCAGGACGGGAAACCGGCTGCCATTGAGTCAACTCCAACTCATGGCGACCCCATGTGTGTCTGAGCAGAGCTGTGCTCCACTGGGTTTTTGATGGCTGGTTTTTTGGAAGCAGATCACTAGGCATTTCTTCCGAGACACCCCTGAGTGGACTTTAACCTCCAGCCCTTCAGTGAGCAGCTGAGTGCTTAACTGTTTGCACCACCTGGGGACTCCTGCTTGTTTCTAAGTCATAATAATTCCAACCTTTCCTTTTACTGCTCCTGCACTGTCCTAGCTGCTTCCTCCATTGCTGCCTCCAAGACAACTCAGAATTCTTTGTACCTTTTCAGTCACCTGTTAGCGACTTCACTCCTCATGAACAATTCTTTATATGGAATGTTCTGCTCTAACTACCAACGTGGGCCCTTTGTGATGCAGATACGAACCCTTACAGGGCAGACAGGGAAGTGGGGGTTTCCAAAGGGGTCTGGCAAGGACCATGGGGTGTGATGTCATGGAGCTGACGTCATGGTCTTATGAGAATAAGGTGGTCAACAAGCCACTTGCTGGTCAGGTCAGGCCCAAGAAGCAGCCATTGGCTTTGGAGACACGTTGGCCACTGGAGTCCAGGGGGAGCAGGAGCAAATGGGCAGTGGGAAAGTTGAGGCCGGGAGTTTAGGCAACTTTCAAGATGCTGAGCTGTGAAGGAGACCAGATACTAATGAGAGATGGGTGCATGGTGGAGAGAGGGGTTTAAAAAAACTTTATTACTTCTTCCTTTTCTATAGAACTGGTGAGCAAGTTTATGTGCTTGGTGAGAGAAGGAGAGGCTGGAGTTATAGAGCCAGGGGGTTACTGTGGTGGTCCCAAGGAAGTGGCAGGAGGAGGATGGTGAGCTGGAGAGGAGCCACGGGCTTCTGAACCCTCCTCATGCCCATCAGGCTCGAGGGAAGGAGGCTAAGGGGCTCACCTGTGGGTACGCTCGGCCGGAAGGCAGGAAGTCTAGGCTGTTTTCACCTGTCCTCTGCTGAAAAATGGGATGGGGCAGGGCGGGGGGGGGGGAGGGGGCATGAGGGAACAGCATGAAGATTTGGGGTGGCCACTTGGGAGGGGATGGAGGGGATGGGCAGGCAGTGTGAAGCCCTCCACAGGGCCCAGCTGAGATTCAAGGCCAGCCGATGGCCACTCTGCCAGCATTCTGCCTCCAGGCATCTGATGAAGGTGTAGCTGCAAGCATGGAGCATACTCAGTGCATGTGACCCTCCAGAGGATCCAAGAACTGAGGTCAACAGGCAGCAGCCTCAATACCAGATGGGAAACTTTTCTACTTGGGACTTGGAACACCCTTCTCCTTCTCCACTGTCCACTGAAAACCCTGTGGGGCACAGTTCTACTCTGACACACATAGGGTCACCAGGAGCCAAGGTCAACTCAACGGCAACTGGTTTGGGTTGTTTTTTTAAAGAACCTGAGCAGAGTGGCCCAGACCTCCTAGGAGAGTGCTGCTTGGCTGGCCCTGGTGTCTTAGAGATGGTGCACATTGAAGCTGCTTCTGCAAGTGTTGGGAAAATTGCAAACTGAGTTCATCTCCTGCTACCACAAGGTGCTGCTGCTGACTCCTGGGAAAGAGTGTTGGAGGGGTGCTGCTCACAGGAACAAGGACAGCACCCACTGTGGGCAGAGCCCGGCAGGGCAAGCTGGCTGGGCAGAGATACTTGCCCAGTCTCCACTCAGCATCAAAAGCAGAGGAGCATGGCAGCGTGGAAATGCCAGCAGTAGCTGAGTGTCTTAGTGTAAACACTAGGCCAATACTCTGATTAAAACAAAAACTTTCACTCCATAGAATGGAGAAAACATGTGCCGTCCATAAAAGGCTGCTGCACATGTCCTGCTTTGCAGGCAGAACAATGAGGTGTTTAATAGGCAGGGTAAACAAATTCAAGAGTTCACATCAAAGCAATTTCAAGAGAAGGAAGGGAAATTTACAAGGGATGATTAAACTTCAAACTTTCTTAACATCAATTTCTGGTCTAACACAAATCTCTCATTCTTGATACAATTCGACTAAGGTGATATTTCTAAAGTGAAACATATAAACATTCTTAGAGGTTTAGTGATGTATTACAGGCCAAGTCAACTTAATTGGAGTCCTTGAAAAGAATGAAGATTAAATCAGCTCTAAATCTAAAGTCTTTTAGAATATAAACATTGCTTTCTGTTTTAAGATGGAGCCCAGGCATCCACCTGGGAAATTCCCTGAAAGTAGTTAAAACAGTGAGTTTATTTACATAAGTTAAAGCCCAAATCTCTGCACTCTTGTGTTACAGTCAAAACTTTTACAGCTATGATCCGCCTCGTTATTCTAAGAAACTTAGTTTCTACATAGTTACCAATTTACAAAGACCTAGCAGATGGCAGTGGGAAAATCCCAGTGAATGAAAATTAATTTGGAAGTCAGATGGGGATAAGGCTTGTTATATGCCCATCTCAACTATAAAGTCATTTACAGGTTCTAACTTCATTTACCACCACTTGTCTGTCAGCTTGTTGTACTGTGGTGGTTTGCATGTTGCTGTGATGCTGGAAGCTATGCTACCAGTATTTCAGATACCAGCAGGGTCACCCACGGTGGACAGGTTTCAGCGGAGCTTCCAGACTAAGACAGAGTAAGAAGAAGGACCTGGTGGTCTACTTCTGAAAAAATTAGCCATTGAAAACCTTATGAGTAGCAGTGGAACATTGTCTGATATAGTGCTGGCAGATTAGCCCCTCAGGTTTGAAGGCACTCAAGTATAGCAACTGGGCTGTTGTACATAAGGTTGCTATGAGTCAGAAGCTACTCAAGGGCACCTAACGACAACAAAAACTTCATTTAATATATCAGTAAGGCGCCTTCTCTGGGGCCAGCTG